TCGCGGCATCGTCAAAACCGGAACCTTTTTTTCGATGGCGTATACGCAACAACTCGTACATATCAACCCTTCGCTCGTAGCAAAAAAAAAAAAAAAATACACATATATATTCAACGTCGCGTCAACGATTAATCCGACGTACAGAGAGCCAGAGAGAAAGAGGAACGAATCGAAACGAGCTACTCGCGAGTTTTATATACACGTATATCTCGCTCGCGATAGCTCCATAGTCCCGCATATAAAGTCATCCAAGCGAAGAGAGACACTCTGTATACTATATACGTCCGATGCATGCGTACGTATGCATGCGTGTGCGTTCTTGCTACATTTCGATTCGTATATATATTTTTTTGTTGCACCTACACACAAGAGCTGTACACGTATTGTCTCTATTATTTTTCTCTTTCTTTTTTTATTTGTTGTTGCTGTAAAGACTGCGGAGCGTCTGCAGCATTTGTTATTATTCTCGCGAGCCCGTACATGATGATTTTTCTAATTGGATGATAAGAAGAGGCGGCTGATTCAGAGGATGTTATTACAGAGGAGGTGTAAAGTGGTGAGGTGTCTTGAAAGGCCGGCGCGTGCTTTCTTTTTAAAAAGGCCTCGGCGGTAGAGCAGCAGGTGTTACAAAAAAACATCGTTTATAATCTCTTTTCTTTTCAGTCCGTCACGAAATTCACACAATTATCAGTACAATTAATTGAATAATGCGTCTCCGCAGTTCGACTAGATTTAAATGCGCTACACTGGTAGGGCTGACGCCGTGATTCGAGCGCGTTGCAAGGCGCGCGTGTTGGAGCATGCACACACATGCAGTGGAGTTGTTTTTGAAAAATCATCAAGTACCTCGTACTCTCGTGCGCCGCAGTCAACCATCCACCTGTTGAATCATCAAAGGGCAATTTCCCCAGCTGTTTTTTTGCGCGCTCGCTGCACACAACGAAACAGCCACTAAATCTCTCATTCTCGTTTTGTGTGCTGCTGCGTTTCCCCCCTTTCTCTCGTCACCTGCCTGCAAGTATCAACCTACATTTCCATACAAACAAAGCGCTGCAGCGAAAACAAAGCATCGCACGCGCGTGCGTGTGTGCTGCACTCGGGGATAGACTCAATGACTCCTATTTTAAACCAAGTAAAGGCTACTCTCTCTCTCTCTCTTGCCATACATACAGTATATCGGGTACGAAAAGCTCTTTTGTTTGCTTTGGGTACGCGTGTGTGTGTAAATGATGCGAATCGCGCGCGGAATCAGCTGATGGGGAAAGAGGAAGCCATCGATTAGTCAGTCAGCCCCCGGCACTCTGCATGCTCGATGCTCCTGATGATTTCGAGGGCACGTTCATGTGGGTCGACCGAGGGGGAAATTTACACATATTTCTTTCTTTTTTTTCGTGCCTCTCTCTTGCGCTCTCGGTTCGTTGACAGTAAAGCGGGTTGCTGTCGACGATTTTAAAATGATGATAGATTCGGCGGTGGTCAGGTGCTTCGTTTGTTTGAGCTTAAAACTTGTTGATCGGGCAGCTATATAGCCTCGAGTTTCGAAACTATTACAAATGTGTTATTAAATACGTGTTCGAATAGGACGATATTCTTATCTCCTTTATAAGACTCTTTTTTAAACTATACATTTTATCTCTATAAAGTTGGACAATTAAGTACTATAAGGTTACTAGCAGCCATATAAAAGACGAACCCATAACCCTTACTGTGATATCGTAAAATAAAAAAAAGCTGCCTATGCCTTGGACTTGCAAGTAATGGCACATTTTGAATTAAAAACCTTTTCCATCTGAACGTGTAACAAAAACTTTAAGTGCTCTCGTCATTTTTCTATTAATGAAAAAAAGCAATAACGGAAGTGAATATGTACTATTTAGACGAAATGATTCGACGCGACGACGGTCAAGGTGATTGCGTTGAATACGTTGGCATCCCCATTATGTGCAGACACATCTAAATACGGATATGCAGTCATTGTTGCAAAATTTCATAAATTGGTAGACGGACAAAAATATCGATTTAAAATTCAAGGTGAATATGCGTCGAGAAGAACAGAGAGCAAAAAAAAAAAATTTGAAATCTTAATGTCTATGCATAAGTAAATGTCAATGTCACGGATTTGAGTATATAGACGAGAATTGAAAAAAAAGGAGACAGTCAAGGTCCCGCGCCACGGTTTATCAAGCACCGCTGCTATATAATAAACTTATAGCCACTTATATACTTTGTCAAGCGGAAAGCAGAACTTTGTTACAACTTACAACTCTGCTTGAAAACTGCTTTTACTTTTCTACCGTTTGCTCCTATCCCTCTCTTTCTCTCTCTCTCTTTTTCTCTTAGAATTTTTAATTGACTTTTGATAAATGTTTGGTTTTACAACTTGGCTAGTAACAGCAAAGTTATCCATGCCACGAGGATAAAATAACAACAACAGCAACCCAAGTGTTGTCGGTTTTTTTTTCGATATGGTTGCCCGAGCAGTGCATAGTCATTGTTCGATCATCGAGAACGCAAAGTCAATGTCACGAATCGCCGAAAACAAAAAAAAAGAACAGGCTAAACCAAAACTATGATGAAAAAAAGGATCAAGGCCTCGTCGTGCTTCAACGCTCACGATCGCACAAAGCAATAATTATATATCCCGCGCGTAAATGTGTATGTGTATGTGTGTGTATGCACTACACATGGGAGGACTCGTTTCCGCGAATATTGCTAGCTGGCAAACTAGAGGCAGGTTAGATCAGAAATTTTATACTTTGCGAGCACGTTGGTTCTTAATCAAAAATTAAAATTTATTCCGAAAAGATGTCATTTTAAATCCGTCGGAGGGAGCCCAGGATTTCAGCGGCGTTTCTTTCGTTTTTTTCTCACAGTGCGTCTAGAGATCGTATATTATAAAAGTATGCACGCGGCTAATAATACGAAACGTCGAAAAAATAATACAGCTCTGCATCAATTAATTATAATGGGCTTTTTGCCAGCTTTGCCTTGACATTCGCAAGCCTTCTGAAACGTGAAATTGCATAACACGTGGCTCTGCGTGTGTTTACAATTTTTTCCAACTATTTCACTATAATTAAGCTTACAAGACGCCACAAGATAGAATCTTGGCAAGCGAGTCTCTCTCGGGCTCGTGCGCGCGAAGAAGCTCACATGTACGATTTTCTCAGTCGTTTGTTTACACATGGTATCGCATCTTTCATGCGGTGTAGCTCCAAGATTTAACTTATTTAAGACGATATTCGAGAGAGTAAGGCACCATATGGTGCAAAATTTCACTTCTCTCTCGAGGCAAACAACGAGGCGGCCGAGAAAACTCAATTTTCTCAGTAGTAAAAGCGTCGTTTTAGTCAGCCGTTAAGCTAGTAACAAGATGAACATAGTTTTACGCCCTCGCGCGTGTTAAAATCATCAATGAACGTTGGGCGTTTGAAATAACTCATAGTACAAATGGTTTGATTTAGAAGCTGACCTCGCAAAATTGCCTGTATCGTTTACAACGAAAATCCGCCCTAAAATGGGGAAAAAAATTCGGAGCATAAAACAAAGGTTCGCGCGCTGGCTTGGTCAAACATTGCGTGGGTGTTTGGGCTAGCTGTGTAAAACGTACGCGAGTGCGTAAAAGTTTGAAAAGTTGGACTGAATGGAAATCGAGCTATTGTGGTATATCGATGTACGTAGCAGTCATCCTGAAAATCACTCTGGAAAGAGGGTGTATTAAAAGCTCCCCTTCCTTGCACGAGAATTCGCAGGTCGTGTGCGTGAGCAGCCCGTCATACATAAACCGCCGACGCGCAAATTTTGAATGGAGAGTCTTTAGTGGTAGTAGTAGGCAGTAGTAGCAGTCGGAGCGTCATGTGCCTCCCCACCCACGCGCAATGACTCTTCACGTGCTCGCACGCGAGAAGCCGGTACGGATATATACGTGCACCTATGTGTGTGTGCCTGGTGTGTCCGTGTGTTTATACGTGTTTTCATGTATACGTGCATGCATGCCGGCGTGAAACCGAAATGATGATGCCGGTGTTGTCTGTACGTATGTATATTGACAGAGAGTGCAAAAACGAGCCGAACATGATGCGTGGGTACGTGAGTCTATATATCTATAGACGCACGCGGACTAACCGACCGAACGGAGGGAATGAGTATATAGCCCGACGGATCGTACCAATCAATGACGAACTGCGTATTTTTTGCGTTCAGCTTTCAAACGACCGTTTGATATAGGAAGAGCGCGTGAGAGAGAGACAGAGAGAGAAGCAAACATTTGGATTGAGCGTGAAAGAAGTGATTTTGCGCGTGATGCTTTTTTTGCAACTACCAGCCACGGAAATTCGAGGTGCGAACAGTTTCGAATTTTTGCGGATTGTTGGATTGTTATCGAGCTTGCGGTAAATCGCTTGATACCGCGCCGTCGACTGTTTTGAAAAATTGCACCAAATTTTTCGTACTCCCACTGGCGTAGCCAAAACTCACTCTCGGCTATTGTGCTTGGCCTTTTTTTCTCTTTTATTCCGCTTATTATGCACTCGAACGCGTCGGGGAGCTGAGTAATTTGCTCGCGTCACAAGTACTAGTCTGCAGTAAAAAATTTTTATCGAGCCGATAAAGGCATTGAAATTTGGGAGCTGATATTTGGCGCGCTATTTTTTGTTTACGTAGACGACGTATGCGAGTATGCACACACGGGCTGGGAGTAGAATTTCACAACGAACGAGCAGCGAACGAGGCGTATGCGTAACGTTTAGTCCGGTCAATCCATCTCCGATAACAATAAGCCAAACACACATATGCATCATCGAGAGAGCGTGTACGCGCGCGGCTCGGCTACACACCGCAAAAACCAGAACTGCGCGATTTCCCGCCTCGCGATCGGGCCGACTGTATCCGACTGTATACACAATGTGCGACAGATAAAAGCGACATTCCCATACTGCGAAGAAAAATGATTATGCCACTATTTTTTGGTGGGCTTTATTCGTATCGTTGAAATAACTCACCAGAATTGTAGTATTCCTTGAAGTAGCGCGTTGCGGCGCGTTGCACTATCGAGTAGTACAGGTTAACGTACGACGTCGACTGATTCTGTGCCGAGAGCGCCATGATTGCTTTTTTTTCTGATTCTTCTTTGACGAATATAGAACGAGTGTTTATACGATTTTATTTATCTGTCGCAAATCACCAAACAAGAAGGATCGATTCAATTTCGCACTTTACAAAATGTTTCAAGCAATCACTTAGGAATATCGAGAGAGTTTCGCAAGTGTCTTTTTGTCGTTGTAATTTTTATTCACCACACCTCCGCACTGTGAGCTCCGATCGGTCGAAACAACGGCGATGGAATCGGTATTGAATCCTCGGCAGCGATGTCGTGTGATATGCTGGCCCGCAAGCACACGCACTCTTCTCTTACACACACGTGGAAGAGTCGAAGGAGGATTTCCTCAGCAACGTAGAAAATCGCCGAAAAGCTCGGATGGATTTCTACCTCCTCCAGCTGCCGTTGCACTGCGGAACGGATTCATGTCCTTCTTGCTGCTTCCGCGTTCGATCGAACTTCGAATTATCATCACTGGACTCGATCTATTATTACGGATACATTTTTCGTTATCGAGCACTTTTAGTCGGAGATAATTTAAGCGTAACCAACGGTAAAAGACGAAACTAAAAAGGCGAACTAAACGAAACGTATTTGACAAACACACATGTATTTATTTAATCGAATAAAACTTGGAGAAATAGAGAGAGAGATAGAGAGCGAGCCTTAACGATCTACCCTATATTATAATATAAATAAAAAAGAAAATTTAAAGCTGCATCACTGCACTATGCGATAACTTTTCTTGCTCTCTCTCTTTCTGCGTAAGATTTGCGAAACACTTTTCCACTGCGCGGGTGAAAAAAAGCGTCTGCAATGCCGACGACAGCCAGAGACGTTGGGCTGCGTTCGGCTCGGCTCGTTGTTCGTTTCCTCTTGGCCGTCACGTATTTGTAAACTTATTATTTTGTGTGTTGCCTCGCGTTCACGGCGTATTATTGTATATATTATTTTGCACGCGCGCACGCCGGGGCCCCCCCGAGCTATATACTCCTCTCCAATACACAACGCGGCGCGACGGCTCACGGCTGTACACGACGACTACGACGACGACGAAAGACAGACACTGTATGTAGCTATAATAACGCGGGCGCGCGCGGGGCTCTTTTCTCTCTCCGTCTCTCTCTTGCCTGCGTACTTGCGCTCTTTTACTCTTTCTCTCTCTCTCTCTCACTCTTATATTCGCAACGGCGGCGGCTCGGCGGCAGCGCCAGCACAACCAGCAGGGAGTATCGCGTGTATGTGTGTACATGCAGAAAGAGAGTCTCCAGCGTGTTGTATCACTCTCTCTCTCTCTCTCTCGCTCTTTCTCTTTCTCCTCCCGAGACTCTCCTCGGAGCAGCAGTAGCAGCAGCAGCAGCAGCGGCGGCGGCGGCGGTGGCGGTGGCGGCGGCGTTGCCATGCTCTTTTGCGAATATATAGCCTGCAAAACCGGCGCTTCTCTCTCTTTCTCTCTCTCTCTCTCTCTCCCACCTCCGGCAGTCTCGAAGCCAATCCAGTTCAGAAATGTCTCCCTCTCGCCCCTCCATTAGCTGCATGCTCTATAGCTATATAGGACTCGTGTTGCGGGTAGGAGAGAGAAAAACTGTAGAGAGAGAAGAGAGAAAGAAAGAGGTGGAGAATAGGAATTGACTGTGCGCCGTTGCTGCTACTGCTTGCTCCTCTATGTATGCATACACACATACAGACAGAGCCAGGGATGAAAAAAAAGTTGCGCGATTGCTATATAGGTGGGGCGCGAGAACATACCAATGCTACGTATACACGAGACGCATGTGCATATCGTATACCTATATAGGCGCGCCATCCAGGGGGGCGCCCCTGAATTTTCGCTGTGTGCAGTGCTGCGCGCAACGAGGGAAGCTTCGTCGTCGTATAGACGGTCGGAGAAAAAAAACGCGGACTCGCGCGCGCCGCGCGAAAGAGTTAGAGGCGCGCGCGCGCGCACTGAGAGCGGGGATTCCCCCCTTGAGAATTCCCCACAAACACACACGCACACGTGTATCGTGCACGCACACCAGCGCTACTTATGCTCATACATGTTAGATCTCTCCCCACTTTTTTTTGCACTCTTTCTATGCTGCCGCTGCTGCTGCCGTTGCTGTAGCTGCATCGCTTTGCGCGCCCGACGTGTGTGCAAAAAAAGTAGCCGTATAGCGAGGAGGGTTATACGACTGTAGCAGTGTGAGCGTGTTTCTGCCGATGTATGTGTGTGCGTGTGCGAAAGTGTGTATGCATGTATGGGTTAGACGACGCCGACGACCGAGGACGAGGACCGAATCAATATTACTCGTTTAAAAAAAGCACCACCTGTAATCACGAAAGCCCCGCGCGCGACACTATAAGAAAGAAAAGAATGGCTACAAGAGCCGTAGCTACTACCCTTCTGCGGTTTTTAGCTTTAAAGCCCGTAGCGCTGCCCACGAGGGATGACTGATGATTTTTTCACCAAAAGGGAGAAAAAAGAGACGAAAAAGAAAGAGCGAGCACGAGTTGCAACTTCGTGTGTTATGATGTGGTTATTTGCAAAGTCAAGTGTGCCCCCGGCCCCGCCGACGCCACCGCTACGCACAGCTCACGGCCTTTTTTCTTAACCAAGTGTCGTAAAGCGCTTTTTAGGATTTCTGCTCAAAAGCTCCGAGCTTTATAAAGTCTCTCTAGTATAAGCGCGTAAAAGTATCATTTACCAGAGGTTTCTGGCATCTTTTTTAAGAATTAACCCTTCCATCGTATTTCAATTAGATCCCAAGCTTGCAAGCTTTTCTTTACTATTGATATACTATGATGTTAAATATATTGCAATTGTTTGATAAAAACCTTTTACTGCATGAATGGCTGTTTAAATGGAAATAATTTCAAAATAATTCTGTAAATTAAAGATATTCCGAAGCTAGTGAGAAAAAAAAGAAATGAAAATATAAAATGAAAAGAAACTGGAAAAAATTTTTCTAAATAATTACAATAAGTAAGAAAAAATGTTGCATCGTCATTTCAGCTTCCACATTATCTAAACCACGAAAATTTAAATTTACGTTTTGTATAAAAATAGCAACGACGTTTTAAGCAGACTTAATCAAGGTAGTTGTATTTTCAAGGAATAAAATTATTTTTTCAGCGAGAAACGATTTTTCCTACTGACGCTCGAGAGAGAAGAAAACGCGTTCCAATTTGATACTTAGAAAGTACCCTGAAAATTAATTTGGAAGGAAAATTTGAGTCTTGTGTTTGCCAAAAAAAACCCCAGGAAACCTACATTCGACTAAATATAGCTCAATGAACTTGAGTCTTGTGAGTATAAAAAAAATCTTAACCCACAAAGTAAAGTTTGACTAGCAACGATCCTCTTCAAGGGGTTACACATAACAGTAGCGGCAGGAGCCACGCGAAAGCACTTGAATCAGACTTTGGTGGTGGCGGCGGTGGCCTCGAGACAAATGCGTAAAAGAGTGTCTCGCAAAAAAGACGACTGCGACGACGATCATTGAAAAACCATAGATATACGTAAGCACGGGGGAAAAGGGAAAAGGGCCACGCGGGCGCCAGACAAGCGAGATAAAGAGGGGGTAAGCAGTCGCAACGGAGGGGTGAAAAACGATGAGACAGGTCAATTTGACCGTCTAGGATTGCTCTCTCTCTCTCTCTCTCTCTCTTTTTCTCCTTTGCTCACCTTCTCCTGGAGAAAACGCCTGTATATAGGCATATAACGCGATAAAGTATAGAAGTCGCGTTCACATACTTATTCAAAGGTATAGGCCTGCGCCAGGAATTCATAAGTGTCCGATGACGAGGCGCAGGATTTACCCGATTTTTTTTCGAGCTTAAAGTTTTACTCCCATGCGTAGAATACTCTATTCTATGGTTTAATTTTCTTTATTCTAACGTCAAAAAATTTTTCCAACGCAAAAAAAGGAAAATTGACCAATCTTTTTAAATCAACCAATCCATCTTTGGACGTTTCGATTTCCGCGCGCGCCCAGCTATCTCGCCAGGGTTTTTCTACTCAGGCAGTAAATCCAAAAAGCCACGAATAAAGCAATTAACAAAAATGGAGAAAAAAGGAATTTCCTTAATCGACTGTCATTCTTAGCGCTTGCTATGCAGCGTGGGGTAAAAAAGTGTAGGCGGGTACTGCTGCTGCTGCTGCTGCACGAGCATGCAAAAAAGGAGAAAAGAAAAAGAGAATGAGCTCTGGTCAGTATAAGCGCGAGGAGGCAAGAGAGACAGAGAGAGAGAGAGAGAGAGAGAGAGAAAAAGAGAGAGGGTCGATGCGGGCTTGTGCAAAGCGGCTGGGCATTATCTCCTAAACCTAAAATCGATACAGTGCGCCGTTATATACATGCACACATACAGGCAAAGCAAGCAAGTGTGGGTGTCTCTATGTGTATATGCGCTCTACCACTACTTTTATATATTCTAACAGTGGAAAGGGAGCGAAAGATAGAAAGAAGAGGTAGAGAAAAACGTCGGTGAATTTTCCGAGAGATAAATGGCGGCTCATTGGGAAAACCCTTCCTCTCTCTCTCTAGGCTCTTCGATCCCTGTACTGCAGTAGCAGTAGCAGCAGCAGCAGCAGCAGCAACTATATACGTCCTACTCTTTTTCTCTCTCTCTTCCTCTTTTCTCGCACCCCTTTTCTCGTCTTTTTCCCCGCCGGTGAGCTCGGGCTTGGTTCTCTCTCTTCTTTTTTTGCTCGCTTTGCCTTACTTCCTTTTTTTGCGTGCGAGCGTAGAGAGAGCGAGAGAGAGAGAGAGAGAGAGGCAAGCCTGCCTGTACTTCCCTCCTCTTCCCTCTTCTTCAACGGCAATGCCTATATGTATATACACGGTAACACAAGGGGATTATGTGCTAGAGGTAAAGCATATATATGTCTCTGTATATACATATATAGAAAAGCGAAAGAGCGGCTCTTTCGCGCGTTAATAAAAAATTTCCCGAATAAATGATGGAATGGCGTACGTATGTATGTGTGAGTGACTGCGTCGGTGTGCGTGTGTAGAGATACGCGAGAGAAAGAAACAGAGAATCGAGCTTTCTACTGTTAAGATAGCCTCTGCAGTGCACACAGCACATATACGTATTTGAATTCTGGCTAACAAGAGAGCGCAGTTGCGGAGTTTTGCCCGCTGCAGCCGCATACGTTGATTGGGAATTTGAAAAATGAAAGGGTTATTGGCTTGAGATATATTACTCGCTGTAGAATCGAAGCCAGAAACTACTATTGCCCATCGGCGGCGCTGTTGCTACTTCTGATTTTGATGAAACGCGCTTCGCTCCGGCCACTGGGCAGACGAGCTATATCTACCTTTTCGACGTTGTGTTTTTTCTTTCTTTTTTTTCGTCCATTGCGGCTTCATCATCAGCGACGAGATTACCACGAGAAGAAACTTTTTTTATTTTCTTTCTCTTTTCGTTTGCAGCAGCATAGAAGCAGTCGACACGAGCGTCGTTCCTCGCTACGCCGCCGGAGCCTTTTTCAGAGAGAAAGATATTTTGCGTTTTAGTGCACGAGAGCCGTAGCAGTTGCTGTGTGCGTCTCTGTGCGCGCGCCTACGTATATACTGCTCGATACTCTCCCGCTAGGCGCACGTACATATGCATGAGAGAAAGAAGAAAAAAAATTTGCTCGGACTTGCGAAGAGAAAAGATGGAATTAGCCTTTTGTCAAGGGTGCCTCGCCGGCCAAACGTCGCATTTTTTTCATGCAAATACGCCTTTTCTAGCGAACGTCGAATATCGAATATGCACGTAAATATATACGGTGCGCAGCTATATAAATATTCTTTTTTTATATCCAGCAAAGTATGAACAATTTCGAGTGTGACTTGGACGCTTCGACAAGAGGTAAATAAAGATGTAAGAAATTTCATTGAAACTCGCGCACTTTTCCAGAAACTGCGCATCACTGAAGCTTAAATTTGTTGCAACTAGATTGCAAAGAAGCAGATTTAGGCGTCCTTTATCGAAATAGCAAATGCGGTAAAGCAAATATGCATAGACCTGGCGGTTCCATTACTGCACCCGACACTTTCCCTTTTGCTCCCGTCAAGATTC